TTGTCAAGCCTTCCTTGAAATCCACATCTGCCTCGCAAACCAAGGGCACTCGTGGAAATGTGGCGCATTGGATAATCTTTCTGGATTACACGCTGTACCTGCATGGTTCTAGTCCCACTGGGGGTGTTGATAAAGTCGGGGAGCAGTCGAAACTGCATTCCACTTCAGCCTGAAATAGAATACCTTGTCGAAAGAAAGGATATGTGAAATTTGGCTCATATGATTGTGGGAAAATACATCTACCAATCCTTTATCACCTTAAGCCGAATAGGGTGAATTCATTTCATATATTTTACTCTTGAAACCCTACTTCCTAGCGAAAAACGATTTTAAATAAGCGATAGTATAAGGGATATTATCAATTGTTCTTTAACTGTTTATGGTTTCCAATAAGACCCGGTTCAGATGGAGTCCAGCCCAGAATGCTAAGCTGCACATTCGGTATGGCGTCGATCGTTCGCAAATTTATATGTCGATTACTCAGTAGCAGAGCTGTACTTGTCCCTAAATTGCCATGTCAACCACCTGCTTAAACTTTATTGTGTATCAACTTGGCTAATTGTACGTAAAGCCTTTATTTGCTTGCCCATCTTCTTCTGTCGCTTAATTAAGCAGCACTTGACTACGGTCATACAGGACATGTACATTTTCTAATCTGTTTGGAGAAGTCGAAACTGCAGTCCACTTCAGCCTGAAAAAGAATACCTTTTTGAATGCAAGGATATGTGAAATTTTGCTTATATGATTGTGGGAAAATTCATCTATCAATCCATAATCACCTTAAGCCAAATAGGGTGAATTCATTCCATATATTTTAGTCTTGAAACCCTACTTCCTAGCAAAAAACGAGTTTAAAGAAGCGATAATAAAAGGGATACTATCAATTATTCCTTAACTGTTCATGGTTTCCAATAAAAGCCGGTTCAGATGGAGTCCAGCCCAGAATTCTAAGCTACACATTCGGTATTGCGTCGATCGTTCGCAAATTTATAGGTCGATTACTCAGTAGCCTGAAAGGTAATACTTTTTCGAAAACAAGGATATGTGAAATTTTGCTTATATAATTGTTGGAAAATTCATCTACCAATCCTTTATCACCTTAAGCCAAATAGGGTGAATTCATTTCATATATATATACTTTGTTGTTAGTCTTGAAACCCTACTTCCAAGCAAAAACGAGTTTAAAGAAGCGATATTATAAGGGATATTATCAATTATTCCTTGACTATTCATGGTTTCTAATAAGACCCGGTTCAGATTTGGTCCGACCAAGAATGCTAAGCTGCACATTCGGTAGGGCGACGATCGTTTACAATCAGACAAAACTGGCAAATTTATATGCCGATTACTCAATAGCAGATCTGCACTTGTCCCTAAATTGCCATGTCCACCACCTGCTTAAACCTGATTGTGTATTAACTAGCCTTTATTTGCTTGCCCATCTTCTTCTATCGCTTAATTGAGCAGCATTTGACTACGGTCATACAGGGCGTGTATGTTTTCTAATCTGTCTGGAGAAGTCGAAACTGCAGTCCACTTCAGCCTGAAAGAGAATACCTATTATAATGCAAGAATATTTGAAATTTTGCTCATATGATTGTGGGGAAATTCATCTATTAATCCTTTATCACCTTAAGCCAAATAGAGTGAATTCAATTCATATATATATAATTTATTGTTAGTCTTGAAACCCTACTTCCTAGCGAAAAACGAGCTTAAAGAAGCGATAGTATAAGGGTTATTATCAATTGTT